CATATCATTACAATTTAATTTTCTTTGAATAATAGTTACTGTTAGAGAAAGTGATTATCAGAGTAGAATATATCTTAAAATAATATTCAAAATTTTATTATGAATATAACTTTATAAAATGCTATTGGAATTTTGTGAAGCAGAAAACTAGAAGAATATATAGTTCTAATTATATAAACTTATTGAATCAGATTCTGAAGACTTTTAATAGTGTACCTATAACTATTATTTGCAAGTTTATCTACAAGTTATAAAGATACATGAATATATATAATAAAGAATTAAAAAGTAGAGCTGCTGAGTGAATTGTTAATAAGTTCAAGTCACGTTATTGAATTCTAGAGAATATTGAGCGAATAATAGAAGAGAATGAGATAAGCAAAACAAATCAATAAATAGAATATTAATATTTAAATAATTAAATACGCATCACAATGGTGATCAAGTGATCATTGTCACGTGTATTTAATGTTGCGACATTATTGGCTGCATTATATGGTATGCGATATTGCATTGCATACGAGATTCAACACTGTCCCTGTCAAAGATCGGCTTTAACGAATTTTTAGCACGTGAAACTCTAACAGTGTAAAAGAAATCGATGGAAATTGCATTTTCACAAAATGGAATTCTCTGAAAGTTCACGTATTTCTTACCGCCTTTTGAATCAACATGGTGTCAAAGAACAAATAAAATTATACACGATATGTCCTACAATGGATTTGATTGCTGCTTGTTCTGTGTCTGGTGAAGTTTGGGTCGCGCGATGGTTTGTCGCATTAGAAAAGATATGGACCTTGCCAGCTCAACATTATAATGCCGAAAAAGTTGAAGCTTTAGCATGGCGACCTGATGGTTTGTATTGCTGAAAATAGTTATGTTATTAAATTGCATATTGATATGATTTCTGGTTATTGAAAAGTTTAAAAAATTTCAAATTTATAAAGTGATTATGACGCGTTTCATTATTAGATTCTAATGTGAATAACTTGTGAATTGTATTGATGC